TATCACAGCGGCTTGTGAGTTCATGAGTACAATGGCCATGCTGCGTTCACAGGAGGGTATTTTACAGCACTCCTCCCATGTGTCCGATCTTACTTCATTTCTGCCTCCTCTTCTGAAATAATCTCTGAGCCTGGGGTGAGGTGTGATGTAAATAACCTGTTTAGGGCTGAACACTCAACACTGGTAAGTGCACAATGTTCTAATCCCTCCTTCAGAATTCTATGTGGCAAAGTGACAACCTCCATTGTGAGGACTTGAAAGAAATTTGAAGTGAAAATCCTAACCTCACTTGGTCTCTACAGTGGAATGATCAAAATAGTGTCTTCAAGGTGTTACTCAGATCGGTCTGGTGCTATCTGGAGTCAGAAGCCTATGTTGGAGTTCATGTTAGCACTGACTAGTTTTGCAGTTGTGGGAATTATAAAAACAAATCAATAATGATTGTCATCCTTGCTCTTTGAAAAAGCTGTTATGAAGGTCAGTCCTCTTGTAGATGGCAAAGATTAGCATAAATGTCAATATTATTAATTAATAATTAATTAGTGGGACTAAAGAGTGAACCCAGGGTCTTGCCTTAACTAGGAAAGCACTCCACCATTGAAGTATATTCCCAGACCTCTTTTAACTTTTATTTGGAGCAAAGTCTCCCCATATTGATCTGCAGAGTTGAGCTAGTCTGCATTAGAAACCCAGCCCACAGCATCCTGACAAATCCCATACTCTTTGGATACATCTAGAGTTACATGAGCTCATCACCTCAGCAGCTCATTCCGTCATTTGCTGTTTCTGATTGCTGCATCAGTCTATCAACTTTTGAGCCCAAACCAGCTTCCATTCTCACCATCAATCTGCTCTTCACTCTCAGCTCTACTCACTTATTCTTAAACTCAAAATATTTATTTTTACTACTTTTATTTTGGTGCATGTGTCTGCATGTGGGTATATGCACATGAATGCAGGTGCCCTTGGAGGCCAGAGGTGTCAGACCCCCCTAGAGCTAGAGTTATAGGTGGTTCTGAGTCACCCACCCAACAAGGGTGCTTGGAACTGAACTCAGGTCCTCTGCAAGAACAGTATTTGTTAGTAATCACTAAGTGGTCTCTCTGCCCAAAGGGAAGCTGTAGAAACAGACACCGTCAATATGGGTGCAGGAACCAAACTTGTATCATTTAGAAGAGACCATGTTTAATAGCTAAGCTATCTTTCCAGAACCCCCCTTTTTTTACATTTATGTTTTTTTTTTAAAGGTTTATTTATTTATTATGTATACAGCATGTATGACCAGAAGAGGGAGCCAGATCTCATTAGGTGGTTGTGAGCCACCATGTGGTTGCTGGGAATTGAACTCAGGACCTCCGGAAGAGCAGCCAGTGCTCTTAACCTCTGAGCCATCTCTCCAGACCCCGACGTTTATGTTTTTACATTTATCTCTCCCTCTACTTTCCCTTCTGTGTGTGTGTGTGTGTGTGTGTGTGTGTGTGTGTGTGTGTGTGTGTGTGTGCATGTGTCCCACAGTGCATGTATAAATGTATAAAGGTCAGAGGACAACTTGTAGGGGTCAGTTCTCTCTTTCCACCATGTGCATTCTGACAATATAGCTTAAGTCATCAGGTTCATCAGCAAGCTAATCCTTTAACTACTAAGGCATCTTGCTAATATGAGATTATCTATAGCCAATGGGAAAATGTCCTTGTAAGAATAGGGATGGGGGCTGGGCATGGTGGCACATACATTTAATCCTAGTACCTGGGAGGCAGAGGCAAGCAGATCACTGTGGGTTTGAGGCCAGCCTGGTCTACACAGAGAGTTCCAGGACAGCCAGGGCTACATAGAAAGACCCTGTCTCAAAATTCAAACAAACAGACAAACAAACTAACAAACAAAGAGGAATGGGTTGTAACTCAGTAGTAAAGAACATGCTTAGCATATGCCAAGGCCCTAGGTTTCCCATTTATTAACGGGAATTCTCATTAATTCCCATTTAATTCTTAGAATGGGAAGGAGAGGGAGAAAGAGAAGGGGAGAAGACACAGACATGGAGGAAAGGGTATGTGATGAAGGAGATATGGCAGTGAGCCATGAGTTAGGATTGACAAAGATCCAAAGATGACCAGCAGCCATCTTGTCTACAATGAGGTAGGAAAGAGGTGTGAAGCTGGGTCTCCCTTGGAGCTTACAGAAGGAACCAACCCCAACAACCCCTTGACTTAGCAGTTCTGGCCTCCATCAAGTGTCAGAGAATGAATGGTTCAGTTGTTTTAAGCCACCTGGATTGTGGGTAACTTGAGAGGGCAGCCCAGGAACTGATACAGTGCTGATACGAGTGAACTTTGAAAAGACCAGTAGGATCATAGCACATCAACGCACTCCATTATCCCTCTACAGCGTTGTCTAGGTTGGTACTGCTGCGGCTGGGAGGCTCGGAGGAAAACAGTGCTGGGTCATGCGCTGGGATCCCAACTATCAGCCCTGGGATTCCTCTCCCTGGAGCTTGGGAATTGTTCGCAGCAGATACCACCTTACTCTTATAAGCAGAGAGAGATGGTAGGACCTCCACATGGCTCAGGGAGCACTGTGCTGGATGCAGAAGGTGAAGCAGAGACTTCGCCATCAGTTTCCTCTCCCTTATCTGCCTTTATGCTTAGCACATAAGCAGGAAAGTAGCCATGTTCCTGTGTAAATGCCTATGCTCAGTTACTGGGCCTCAAGGAATTATACCTAGCCAGTCAGAGGGGCCACAGCAAGACTGCAGCTGTGACAATTTTATGGAGAGCAGTCAAACTTTTTATACTTTTATCAGAAACAGAATATAGTGGCAGTTGCCAGGATCAATACAGCTGTAGTTGCCAGGAGACAATGATGTTTGCAAATTATACTTGGGATTGCAAGATTACTTGTGTACTTGGGTACTCAGACCAATTGTCCTGTCAAGCTTCCATGCTACCTTGACTTCTGGGGGAACATACAGAGAAGCACACAGCAGCCTGGATGCTGCACTGTCTAAGGGAGTGTGTCTGTCTCTCAGGATCCGGAAGGCACATTGTGCTCTAGGAGCTACCGACACTAACCTAAAAAACCTATGCTGCATGCCTGTCAAGGCAACTAGGCCAGGCCAACTCCATGGTTCCCCACATTCCTATGTACATCACAGCCACACATTCACCCACAGAGTGCATTCTGTCAGTGACAGGAGCTTCCCCAAAGGAGAAGAACAGTATCACATTCCCACTTATGGAGAGAAAAGAAATTCCTCATTTCTTTTTGTCTTACCTCTTCTGGCCGCCAACTCTTTCACCTGAGAGCTGATCAGTATGGCTGCAAGTATAAAGAAGGTGAAAGAGAGGGAGGCCACCAGGCACGTGCATGTGAGATACTTTGGGGAACCACTGAGAGCCAAGGCAGAGCATGATTTCCTTTGGATCTTTTGGTTTTCATAATTTATGAGTGGCAGAAGCTCATATTGGTGTTTATATGCAAGAATCGCAGTCTGTTCTATTGATTAAAAAACTGACTCACTTAGCAATAAAGAGGGGAAGTTCGTTCGTTTGTTTGTTTGTTTATTTAACATCCCGACTGAAGTTTCCCTTCCTCTCCTCTCATTCCCTCCCCCTACTACCCACCACCAAAAGAAATCCATGGAGTCTGTTTCAAGGACAAAGGAATTTATTAGGGAAGGAAAATTCACTGGACAAAACAGAAGAATTATGTCAGGATCCTGGAAGGATGAGGCACTGTCCCATGCTGTTTTTCCACCTGAGATTGTCCCAGCATCCAAGTCCCACAAGGGAGCGAAGAGAGCGCCATGTTTGCATGCATCCCAGGTCTTAAGGATCCCGAGTGGCCATGCCCCAGGGGCATGCACTTCAAGGGCATAGGCAGGTGTAACAGCTGCCTGTTACCTCACTAGGGGTGATACTTCAAGGCCATAGCTAGAACAGCTACCCCCTACAAAAGGGAAAGTTTTAATGGCCACTAAATGTTCCATTGCTGTAGTCTCAGTGAAGACCTCTCTGCCAATACATATATGTAACTATATATGCCATAGTTACTTTCCTGTGCATCTCCCTGTAGCCATTGAGAAGAGGAGCCAAGGCCTACAATGGAGGCACAGAGCTCGTGGGTGGGCAGGGAAGAGGGAGCAGGAATTCCAGACACAAAGAGGAGTAAAGGATGGAAGGAAGACAAGTGTGAGGAGTCTGGAATGGTGCCAGAATCCTTATGGCCAGGAAGCAGGTGTGGGGTGCAGGGAGACAATGCTGAGGAGAATCAGTAGCTCCTTCAGAGGCAGGCAAAGTGTCTACACAACAAAATGGTAAAGACAAGTCCTGTGGATTGTGAAGAAAGGTTCCCACCTGGAGCCTGAACATTCAGCAAGAGGTGGGTTTTGAGGAAACCGTGTCTTTCACCGCTGCCCAGGACAATGGGGCTCCGTAGTTAGGCACCAAATGAACTGTTACCTGCATACAGCATGGAAGCTGCTTCTCTCATACTCTGTGCCATTGCACGGTAGGCCTGCTGGGCCAGTGGAGCCCCCTTATGCACAACAGCGTTTGGGGAGTTGGTTCTCAGGCCCCGGGCAGCCTGGGTTTGTGGATGGAACCGTTGAATTGTTAGCCTGGCGCTTCTGCAGAAGGCCTGTTCTCAGCTGATCTGACACACTACATTTGCTTTTTGATTTGCACACATAAAATGAATCTCTCTCACTCTCCTCTCCCCCAGAGCCTCATCAATTAGAACTGCTTTGTTCTTTGCATTCTTTTGTTGAGCAGTTTGGGAATTAGTTAGCAGGGGAAAGAAAGGCAAGTTGTCTTTGTGGGCTGTGGCACTGGAGGGCTGGCTGCTAATGAAGGCTTCCTGAATGGTGTGATTGTGCTGCTGTTTATATAGTTTTGATTTTAATTTGCACCCGTACCAGGCTCGGATCCCAAGAGCCATTCAGCCGTATTTGGAGCTCACTGGCCTGTAGGAAACTGAGGCGGGTCTCCCCTCCTCCACTTTCATCATGTGCTGTTAATTGTTTCTAGATCATGGGGAGAAAGAAAGAGGCACAGAACCAGAGAAAGCTTTCTCCTCACATGGCTGGATCACATGATGGCTGGATCACATGAGATGCAGCTTTTCTGTTAAAAGGCGTTCCAGAGAAAAAGGTCTGTGACTGAGGCTAGGGAAGGGAGACAGTCTCAAAGAGCCAAGGTAAGTGAGTTTCCTGCAGGCGGAAGAGAACTCTGCTCTGTTTTAGTTTCTCCTCCTGTGGGTGCTTATTCCTTATTTTCTGTTTTCCTGAAACATGCCTGCAGACTTGGACTCAAGAACCAATCCCAGCCCACTATTATAAATTAATTTTCTTTATCAATTAATCACAACTAGCACCCAAGGCCCCACATAACACAATCATTTGGTTCTTGCTGGTTGCTGGTGGCCTTCTCAGGTTTCTGCCCAGTGTTTCCCACCACTGTGAGCTAACCGTGTTCCACACTTCTGCTCAGTCTAGGACTCCACCTGAAATGACCCTTCCTGCTTGTTCAGTATCCCCTCTTGACTGTCCAGGGCCTATCTTCACATCTCAGCCCTCCTGAATGCTCCAGCTCACATTGTCCTCAATACGCACTCCTTAAGAAGGGATTCCACAAACAATCTGAGATGATTAAGGAGTTAGTGCAATTGTTGTTGTTGTTTTGATTTTTCAAGACAGGGTTTCTCTGTGTAGCCCTGGCTGTCCTGGAACTCACTTTGTAGACCAGGCTGGCCTCAGACTGAGCGATCCGCCTGCCTCTGTATTACCTGGTGGAGCTAGTGCAATTTAATCCATGGCATATGCTACCGGAGCCAAAGAAGTCTCCAGAAAGAAGCAGGATAACAACCAAGGATCAAAAACAAAGCTTTGTTTTCCTAAGCGAGGTCTAGAGGAGGGAAGCAATGATGTCTGCTGCAAATGAGCCCAAGGCTTGAAACTGAACGTGCAGCTTGCAAAGGAACTGACTGGCAAAGGAGAGTCTCGTCAGGTGTGATGAACGTGGACTTTGCCTCATTCTGGCTGCTTAGATCCTCTGGGAAAGTCTCCTAAACAGACTGTAGATAGTCATGTCAGGAGTAGGATTCTCCATCTAAGGAAGAAAATGAAGCTGAAGGGGGGGATAAAACAAAAAACAAACCCTAAACTCCAGGAGAGCAAGCAACAGAGCAATCTGAAGAAATAAGAGATTTCTCTAGTGGGTTTTAAAGTTTGCAGCTTATGTGGTGGGAGATAAGATTCCTAATGTGTAGTATAACTTACAAAAATATCTCAATAAAATCTCTGAAATAAGAAAAATATTAGAGTCCACATTCAGGAACATAGAAAAATGATAGTATCTTGTACTCTACTCCAGAGCTACTGAGTCAAAATTTGTATTTGAATAAAATTCCTGAGTGAGTAGAGTGAAGAGTGGGAAGGCCTGTTCCAGATGCCTCTCCCACTTGTCATTTGATCCCCTCCGTCAATCCACTTCATCCCAGAGTGTACCCTCACCTGGCTCTAGCTTCACCTAGAGACAAGAAGAGGCCACCTGCTACTCACTGTGTCTCTCCTAGCTGACTAGACAGAGTTCATTGTGAGGACGCAGTGAATCCTTGGTTAATTTCATGCACATTTGCCTTTTATGTTGCCTTCCTTTGTTGCTCCTTGCAAATGTTTTGATGCCTCTCTGCCTGCTTGTTCTGAATTATTAATACAATAAGGGCAGAAATCTCCTGCTATGTTTTTCTTACTTCCATGTGGCTTTCCCCCCCGTGACACAAGTCTTCCTCAGGACTTTCAGAGTCTATCTAGAAAAATCATTTGACCTTCTCACATCATGTGGCCAGAAGTCTTGGAGAACCTAGGCATTTGCCTGCAGGGCTGTTCATTCATCTACCAGGGTTTCTGCCATCGAATTACTCATCTCTTTGCCTCCACCTCCTGTAATTATGGTTTCCTTGGCTGGAAGGAATTTGTAAAGGGTGATGGTGTGTGCTGTGTCTCAGGGGAAGGAGCCTGTGGGTTCAAGGCCCCAGAGAGAGCTCCCCAAGAAAAAACCTCCAAGCTAGTTCTAAAAGGAAGAGGTTCTGTGTTTGGTCTAGTTTGAGGAGCAGGACACAACACACAGGCTGAGAACATGGAGGTAGAGGCCCCATGTGCTACAGCATTCCACATGTGTGCCACAGGGTCAATCAGCAGAGCTGCTGAAGTGTGCTGGACTGGCAGGTCTGGGCTGCAAAGGCCTGCTGTGGGCCCCATGTACCAAGGCTCTGTGACTATTTGAGGGAGGTAAGATCTCATTTCACAGTGGGTGGAGACACTCGGAAACTGAGCTGGTATGAGAATTCAAGTCTCCCTGTGCCAACAGTGGAGCTGGTAGTCTGGCCAGTGTAAAGGGAGACCTACTTGGGGAACACTGTAGACAAGAAGAAAGGAAAGGAAAGAAAGAAAAGCATCTGCTAGAACAGCAGCCCTGACAGCCCAGAGCTCTTTGCTTCCACACCTCCCATCTATGAGTTACCTTTTTCTGCTCATGCAGCTTCTGAAGGCCCCAGTCTGCAGCCCCGATGTCCACACCACTATGTGGCGCATCCTCACCGCTCTAGCACTATCCTAGAGTACAGTTGTGATCTCCCTCTCCCCTGGTTCTGCAGGGTCACTATCTAGAGGATAATGTCCCCTCCTTTAGCATGGTATGTGTACTGGCTTGTTTGATGTCAACAACTAGAATCATCAGAGAGAAGGGAGCCTTAATTAAGAAAATGTCTCCATGGGATCCAGCTGTAGGGCATTTTCTTGATTAGTGATTAATGTGGGAGGGCCCAGCCCATTATGGGTGAGGCCATCCCTGGGCTGGTGGTCCTGGGTTGTGTAAGAAAACAGGCTGAGCAAGCCATGACAAGCAAGCCAATAAACAGCATGAAGGCATGACCTCTGCATCAGCTCCTGCCTCCTGGTTCCTGCCATGTTTGAGTTTCTGTCCTCACTGTTTTGTTGATGAACTGTATCTTAGTTCAGGTTTCTATTGCTGTGAAGAGACACCATGACCACAGCAACTCTTACAAAGGAAAACATTTCATTGGGGTGGCTTAAAGTTTCGGAGGTTTAGTCCATTATCATCATGCTGCAACATGGTGGCATGCAGGCAGACATGGTGCTGGAGAAGTAGTTGAGTGTCCTACATCTTGCTATGTAGGCAACAGGAAGTGATCTGAGACCAGCGGTATCTTGAGCATAGGAGACCTCAAAGCCTGCCTCCATAGTGACACACTTCCTCCAACAAGGCCACACCTCCTAATTGTGCCAGTCTCTTTGGGGGCCATTTTTTTTTCAAACCACCACAAAGTGTTATATGGAACCATGAGCAAAATAAATCTTTTCCTCCCCACTTGCTTTTGGTCATGGTGTTTCATCACAGCTATAGTAACCCCAGCTGGGACAGTATGGCATGCCCTTTATTTAGTGAGGCTTCAGGCAACCCCTCTCCAGCCTGTACTACCAGCATTCCATCTCATACCCACCTCTCTGCGGTTCTAGACTGGAGCCTGCTTGCCTCCGGGTACCTCTGTGCTTTCCCCAGCTCTTAGAAAGCCCTTCCTCCACTGGCTCAGTGAATTCTCATCCTCCAGCCCCAATACAAGTTACATCTCTGGGGAGTGCTTCCTAAGCTCCCCAGACAATAAGTGCTTCTTCCTCTGTCTCTCCAGAGCCCTTTGTGGATCTCTGGCTTCTCTTGAGTTCTAGGGACTGTTTACATAGCTGCCCCTACTGCCAGACTGCCAGTTGTTACGGCTGTGCTTAGCAAAGGCTGGAGCCTTGGGGCAGAAATGAAGGCTACATCAGTGTTTTCCCTTTCTGGGCCCTTCACCCCTGTAGCCACAGCCCCCGCTGTGTACTGGGCCCAGGGTCCCAGTGGATTGAATAAAATCATGTTGGCAAGCCGCTGGACACAGAAAAGTAGAGGATCTATGTAGTGGGTAGCCATTCCAGCTTTGATCTGGAAGTTCCAACCCCCATTGAGACTTCGGCAACTGTCACGCCTACAAGGCGGGGCCAAGGGAGGTGCCTGGGGACCCGAGATCTGGATCAGCGGGCGCTCTCTCTATTGCGGGACCCTGGATAATGGAGGTGGAACATACACTTGTTTATAGACTGTTTACCTTGTTTACGTGAAGCCTTAGTCCTTAGGTTATTTCGGTAGATAAGACTTATAGATTTATAGTCACCTATGCTTGTCATCTCCATAGTTACGTTAGTTAGGTTATCCAGATTTACAGATACATAGGTCAGATGGACAGGTAATCTTCAAACACTTCATAGACCTAGAGAATATGGCATTTAAATAACTTAGAATTCTGTTGATGTGAGACATAATTGCTCCTGGCTGCACCAATTTGATCCCGAGAGAATGTTGGGCTTCTAAGACATTTCCATTTGGAAGTTTGTCTTCTTGGCACAAAATGGCCTACTGGGCAAAGAACTGCCCTTGCCTCAATGGCTGACAGTACAAATGCAATGCTGTCCTTTCTGGACAAGTGGGACACAAGGAAAGCGACCACTGTACTCTGCCAAGACAGGGTAAGATGGTCTTTCAGAATTCCTGCTTCTGAAAATGGTCTGTCAGATACTTTAGGCCTGTAGCCAATTTGAATGCACCAACAATGCTGAGAAACATTAGGTGACTGTCCAGGCTGCCAGCTGTCTCGGTCTACTCTCACAAGAATCCCGAAAGTTGCTTGCATCCATCTACCATTTCTCAGGTACCATTATATTCCTTCTCAGGTCTTTGATGGGGTTGAAGACTAGCAGTTATAGTTACAACTTAGTAGATAGAACATATTAAGTATTAGATTCAGGTTCTTTAGGATAGGACACCTTTTGGAATGATCTTTGTAACATGCCATTTACCTATGCTCTATACTTCTCTGAACTTTAGTATGTGTTTCTTGCTTGATATTGTTTGCATTGGTTGTACTTCCATCTTATCTAGGTCATTATCCCTCATTATTCCTGGACAATATTTGATAACCATTCCTTTGTATATAGTCTTGTATTAGGTTAGAACTTTCTTATTTAGACAAAAAGGGGGAGATGTAGTGGGTAGCCATTCCAGCTTTGATCTGGAAGTTCCAACCCCCATTGAGACTTTGGCAACTGTCACGCCTACAAGGCGGGGCCAAGGGAGGTGCCTGGGGAC